CGGGTGCTGTGCCAGCCGGCGCTGCGAGGCGGAGGAAACCAGCGCTTCCAGCCCTGGATGCCGATTTCAGGCGGCCCAGTTCCCTGGAAGCCTCTGGGAACAGCAGCCCTCGGGCAGGTGGGAGCGGGAAGTTGGACGGTCCTCGCTTCTCCGTAGAATCGTGCAAGGGGCTGGCAGATGGCACGGCTTCCCCTGTGCACTACTTTCCCGCCACCTCTTCCCACACCTGGTCAGAGGGCCACAGCCGAGGAAGGAGTTCCCCTCAAGTGGTAAAGTCGCCAGCCACAGGCCTACAGGGTCCCTTGGCAAATAAGCAGCCATTCTGGGGGCATAGGGAGTGGAGAGAAGAAAATGGAATTGTTAAGTTTCATTTTATTGGGGTAGGGGAAATAGGACCCTTGATAAGGGAAATTACAATTTTTTTAAATTAAACAAATTTGGTTTCCAGGCTCTTCAGAGGTTATTCCAAACACAAAATATCTTAAAAATGTCCCAAATTGGGACCAGCAGGTGGCGTGGTGGTTAAGGTGCTGGACACTCCTACATGGCTAACCATGATTGGAGTCCCAGACCTGGCAGCTTGCTTTCTGACTCTTTCTCTCTCTCTCTCTGGTTAAATTAGAATAAATGAATAAATAAAAGTAAATAAATAATTATATAAAAGAAGTCCCAAATTAAATCAAATGCACATCATCAAAGTAAAACACTTGTGACATGAATTCTTTTAAGTTCTAATATTTTCACGTTACTTTGTTTTAAACCATGTGCAATGTTTGGTAGGTCACTTTTTTTTAGAATTTATTTCATTTTTATTTATTCATTTATTTTAATTTAACCAGAGAGATAAAGTGAGAAAGCAAGCCACCAGGTCCAGGACTTTAACTGTGGTCCGCCATGTGGGAGTGACCAACGCCTTAACCACTATACCACCTGCTGTTCCCCAGTAGGTCACATTTTAAACATGTTTAAAGACGTGAAAAAATGTGGTACAACAATAAAAGGTAACGGTCTAATCTGCTTCATATACATGATGGGACAACCCAAAACATAACAACCTTTTCAAACAAGTTTGCTAAGGAATAACACTCATTTTTTAAAGAAATATTTTATTGGGAACCAGCAGTTAGCGTAATGGCTATGTCGCTGGACTCCCACGTAGTCGACCGTAGTTC